GTTTCTCCTCCGTCAGGGGTTCACGGATGAACTGTTGATTCTTTACCGCCTGGGGACCACTCAAGCTGGCAAAGGGAGGAAGTGTTGATGCAGAAGCTTGTCCTTTGGGTTGCATTTTCTTCTTCTGATGATAAGCCATTGTTGAAGGAAGTAATAGTTTGTTGGTTGGAAGCAGAAAATTAGAGAAAAAGCAAGGAAAGTCGTGAAGAGTTAGAGAAGTTGTAAAAAATGAAAACATCAAAGGTAAATTACTTATATAGTGAATGGAAGACTGAAAGTTTCCATCATTAAGGGGCTAGAGTTAGTGGGCCACGTATATGCTTGGATGTGGGATGGCAGAGGCAATAGTTGCAATTCACGTCCCCGAGGCCGAATGGGTGATGATGGCCCACAATTTTGTTGAGTTCCGAGAAAATAGCCATGATGATAGTGACGTCATAAACGTGCATCAAGGTGGCGGAACAGTAGCTTGCGTGTTCATAACTATCTTTCTTTTTCTCTTTCATTCCCTTTCAACTTCTCAGACTGACATTGGTGGAAAAGAGTATCAGACGACACTTATGGGGGCAAAGCGGCGTCGAAAGCCAGACGTTGTCAAAAAATGTTCTTTTCCACAGTCAAAGTTGAAAAGACATTTTTGGGGGGCAATTTGTTAGCTCCTAAATTCGACGCCTCAGTTAGAAAAAAACTATTTAAGACAAAAAGGATAAAAGATAGGTTGAGACCAAAAGAATGGTCGAAAGAAGCAAAATAGCTAAGTCGAAGGACTCACCCAGAAGCCAAGAGTTCGACCGCCTGCTGAGAAGAATGGTTTGTCGAAGAATTTGAAATTTAAATATTGGAGGGAACAGTTTTGCTTGTGGAAAATTGAGGGAGACACGTGTCACCTTATGAGTAATAGATCCATGCATTTGAGACAAGTGGCGGAAGGAGATTATGGTGGAGGTTATGAGAGGTTATTTTTATTACTATAAATAGGGTGTCTTAGACATATCCAAAGTGTGTTGTAATTTACTATTGTACAAATTACTCTTGAAATTACTCCAAGTATCCGAGTGTAGAGAAAACGAGTATTATAAGAGAATGTACGTGATGTAAACACACCATCTGTTAACTTAATGCAATTTACTTGTTTTTACTTTAAGTTTTACAAGGTCTTTTATTGTCTTTATTGTATTTACCCCTTTTCCTCTTTCCCTTATTTCTCTCCTTCCTATGCAATTTTTTTCTCTTCGTCATCAATCTAACTTCACCCTTACCAACAAACTTTCTTCTCTTTTATTGAAAGCCTTACTTTACCTTTAAATTAACCCGTAGTCGAATAAATGTTCTTTTAGGATTCTTTTATCCCAATACTGTTCGGGTGTGGAACTTAAATAGATTCTTAAAACCAAAAATAAATCTTTTAGCACATGTCCTAGGATCAATCTGATCGACCCTGTGAGTCACCAAAGTTAGATTTGAAAGATCAGCGGTTGTTTTCCGATTTTCAAGGGAAACACACACAAAAGGATTTTTTAAAACATTTATTTTCAAACGGACCCCTAAATTTTGAGGCCATATGTTAAAGGTATCGTTATCCATGCATAAGATTGATACTGTATATACCATAAACTATTGTTGTCAAAGTTTGAAAGTTAGCCAAAAATCGACTAATAACTTTTTACAACTATTCTCTCATCTTCAAGTGATTGCAATAAGGAACTTTAACTACTCCAAAGATAATTAAATGTAATATGTGCAAATATTGAGTTACTAAAATAGGAAATACATAAAAATAAATTAAATACAAATAACAAATGCATGAAATAATTTGATTGATTAGTCATCGAAGGTGAGAAAAACACAAGAAAGAGGGAACATGAGATAAGTAAACTTAAATTGTGATTTAGTGAATATACTTTTTGTTGGGTGTTTCGTGCTATTTAAGGATTCCACCAGGGTTTTAATTGTTTTGACTAATTTAAACTTCTCATGATTGATTTCTAATGAAACTCGACTAATTTAAACTTCTCGTGATTTATTTCTAATGAAACTCAAATAAATCTTAAATGGAGAATGATTAGGAGATACCTTAGGACACTCTGAGTGATACACACACAACCCAGGACACTCTGAGTGATACCTTAGAAGTGAGTTTTTTTCCTAGAGATGCATCTTCGGAATCTGTCTGTAAATACATTTCCGTAACGTATGCTAAGTAGTATCAAAGGCAGAAAAAAAATGTAATTTGACTAAATAAAGTTATCATTCATAACATAAAATCAACATTACATAAATGGTTTCAACATAAAATGCAACATTATACTTTAATATCCAAGTGAACGCTTCAACATCTTCACAATATGTTCGACCGATCTTGAAATCGTCGCTTCCAACTTAAACAGAACTTTTGTTTCAAAATGGAAAAATATATTCCACATAGCCCTTACACCTACATCCATCTTGATCTTAAAGTTGTTGAAATCAATCTTCTATCCATTGTCAATCGATGGTGAACGGTACTCGAGAGTGGTGTACTCATTGAGCTTAAACTTTCGCCCGCGTGTCATGCTGGAGAAGGAGAACATATCAGATGATGTTTATTTGTGACATTTGAGACATTTTTCTATTTGTGTGAAATAAAAAACTAGAGCCCCTAATTTTATAGAAGTTGTAGACAAATGTGGACCACAAAAATTCTGTCAAGAATCAGTGCTGGTTTCGAAGATGTATTTTTGAAATCGCCTTATTATCTTATTCCAGAGATACATCTCCAGAGCCTCTATAGAACTAGGCATACAGACAGAAAATAAAACCTAATATATGACTTTGTTTTCCAAATGAGCAAATGTTTTGGCAAAGATAAAAAAAATATATTAAAATATTAAGTAATTGTATATATTACACTTCAATAATATTGAGACAAAATTACATGCACTTATTTTTTTTGATTAAATAGAAAATTAAAACGAATCAAAATATTTGTCGTTGGATAAATCTATGGGTGGTACCCCCTTAGACTTCTGTGCATTTGATTCTCTTTCAATGTTGCTCAATTTATCAAACTCCTGCATCATTTCCATAAAATAGTCCGACCAAGTCTCGACTTTTGTTGTTGAATAAATTGTCCACTCCGGTGATGTAAGTGGTATAGGGCATCCCGGTTTCAAGTAAACTTGAACAAAATGCCGTGATTTTGGAAGCCACCCAATATATATATATATATATATATATATATATATATATATATATATATATATATATATATATATATATATATATATATATATATATATATATATATATATATATATATATATATATATATATATATATATATATATATATATATATATATATATATATATATATATATATATATATATATATATATATATATATATATATATAATAAGATCTTTTGGATTTTGAGGTGAAGCAGTGCGTAGTGGGAAAAAGGTTTCCGAAAAATCGTATCATGTATGATCAATACAAACTCTATCATACACACATGCTATGAGGTGACCTATTTCAGGGAAGTGTATCCATTTAGCCTCCGATGCCAGTCCACTAAGACAAGGAACAAGAGACTCATAAATTGCATCAAAATTTTCTTTATTTTCGTAAATCCGTGTTATGATTCTTTATGAGTACTTAACTCATGGATAAGCATATGCATTTGTGCATAAAAAATGACATATCGTCAATGAATGAAATCTTTGGTAAGATAATAACAACCTTTGTTAAGCGATGACACAAGGAGACTTCTTCCTTCCATATTCCATTTAGTGAGATGACAATTACATTGAATGATATCTCATTCCTTTTCCATATTCCGCTGATAGGTAGTTTTTTCATCGCTTCTATCATTAGTCAAGAGACCACACTTATGACAATTGTACAATACTTAGGGGTTGTTTTGCATCAGATGATAGATGAGTTTAGGTTTATGAGAGGTGTTAACTTTCGCTAATCTTGGCTTTAGGATAGGTATAAATAGCTATTGCATCAAGGTATGTATGAGGTAGCCGCTAGGGTATACATGCTACACCTTGTAGGATAGACTATCTTAACGGATGAGTCTCATGTATATATCGATGTTAAGTACATGTGACTTTTTAACAACATTGAGCATTGCAGTTGAGCAAGTCGGTGTGCTACATTGAATGTTATAGATGCTGCTCTCAAAGGGAGATTGTTTTTTAGACCAGACAACTTGCACCTTGTAGGATCGGTTCAATAAGGCTGTATTTCACCATTCCATCAATATTAATTCAGTATTTACGAAACTCGATCTTTCTCACCTTTCTGTTATCGGTGTCAGGCAACAAGTCATTCAACATGGATCTCAAGACAGCGAAACAACCAATTTTCTTTGTAAGCCGAAACATTATAAGAGGTTTCACCCTGTCGAAGTGCACTTCTTCCTTAATAAAAAAATTGAGGAAGATCCATTCTTAGATTTTTTGTTCTCAACAATAAACGCCTTCTATTTATACAATTTTGGATTCATCTTGAACCACACAAAACGATCAGTACAATCATAGCCGTATAAAAGTGTCAATAAAATATCAACCATTCATTTTTTATTCTTTTTATAACTACCGAATTTTGCACTCATGGACGAAATATCCAATAACTTCCGAATATTTTAAAAAACCCGTACTAATCAAACTTCCAGATATTTTGAAAATCCGGTTAATCAGATTTTTCATGTATACTACCATATTTTTTGCCAAGTTCCAAATTTTATAGTTTGTTCTATCAGATATTTTGTTCGGATTAAGGCAACATGGATATTATTAAAATGTGGGAGTGTCAAGTAAAATTTACTGAGTTTGATCATAGCAATCCAGCCCGCTAAGATGATAAAAAAAAAAAAAAACTCATTGCTATTGATGCGAAACGCAGCGTTTTAGGGCAAACAAAGCGGGAAAATGGTGGTGCCCTATACAAACACCACCAGCTAGTATAGCAGAAGAGAGTGTGTGCGCGTGACTCTGAAGAGAAGAATCAAGATGGCGCCAATCATCCAAAGCACTCAACCATGGGTCGAGAAATAGTAACCAACAACTTCATCTTCAATTCAATTTCAATTTTGTTTCTCTAATTTCTCTTTTTCGCATATCTGATTTCTCTCCAATATTGTATCAGTCGCCCAAAGCAAGTGAAAGACGTTGCTCACCAAGACGAAGTAGTTCGAGTTCTCACCAACACCCTCGAAACCGGAAGTTGCCCCCACATGCTCTTCTACGGTCCTCCCGGCACCGGAAAAACCACCACCGCCCTCGCCATCGCTCACCAGCTTTTCGGGTATCTTTTTTTGTGTTGTGACTTTGAATTCATAGATAATAAACAATTTGCTCACTAATTTGCAACAATTATGTTGTATAGGCCCGAGCTTTATAAATCTAGGGTTTTGGAACTGAATGCTAGCGATGATCGTGGTATTAATGTTGTTCGGACTAAGATCAAGGATTTTGCAGCCGTGGCTGTCGGTACTAATCAGAGAAAGAAGTATGTGAAATCTAATATTCTTTTGAAAGAGTGTTGTTTTAATTACCTCGTTCTCTGCTTATGAGATTTGTACCTGTTTTGGGTTTATGATGTTTCAGTGGTTATCCTTGTCCGCCTTATAAGATAATTGTTCTCGATGAGGCAGATTCAATGACAGAAGATGCTCAGGTATGTTTACTCTGTTTTTCATCTTTGACTTAGGTTGTTTAATTAATTGCTATAACTTGCAATGGTTTTATCGAATCTACAATTTGGATACAGAATGCACTGAGGCGTACAATGGAAACTTACTCTAAAGTTACAAGGTTCTTTTTTATATGCAACTACATTAGCAGGTATAGTATATAGCCTTATATGAAGCCATTTGCCAATTTCTTTCTTTGTCATTTTCAATTTCACATCTTTAAGGACTCGATTAACACTATCTTCATCAATTATGGTTTTTGTAGTACTTCTTTGTCATTGTTTAAGTAAATTAAATCTGTTTACTAGTTTCTCTATTGCATACTTTGTTTTTCTTATGTTGGCAAGAATATTAAAATCTATGCACAAATATCGTGATCAATAATCACAGAAAGTTATTGAACTAAAACAATACATTGTAAAGTCATTTTTTTTCTTATTGTTCTTGTCCTGATTTTTTGAGGATAGGTGACACATTCGTTTCATACAAGGTTGTCATTTTTTGTAGGATTATAGAACCACTTGCTTCTAGGTGTGCCAAATTCAGGTTCAAGCCACTGACAGAAGAAATCATGAGCAATCGAATATTATACATATGCAAAGAAGAAGGAATCTACCTTGACGCTGAGGTAAGAGCCTTAGAGCTTATACAGCGACTGTGTTATTTTTAATGGTTTTGATCCTTTGTCTGTAATGATTCTGTTGACATCAGAGTTATTATAAGTGTCTCTTCTTCTGTAGGGTCTTTCAACCCTAAGTACTATTTCTCAAGGAGATCTTCGTCGGGCTATAACATACTTGCAGGTAAGCACATTTCCTTATTAATGTAGTATGTCTCCAGACATTTAAGTTATGTTACTTCTATTTTTTTCATATTATTACATGGTTGTTTTTCTTATATGTGTGCATCTTTTAAATGGCTATGGTTCTGACATGCTCTGCTTGGCTCTGGCAAACTAACTACTAACTATCAACTGTGTTAATAGTGTGTTGCTTTTAGGATATTCATAAAACTTTTATGTATGGTAAAATTACCTAGAAATAAATTTTTGGGTAACATTTGTTTAATTGTAGCCAGGTATCTTTCTCATTGTTTCTGTTTGCGAATGCTGGCTCAAAAGTTAACGCCAATGAAAAATTTGTTCCAGTGGATACTTCATATTTCTATAAACGGGAGAGTCCAATTGTTAGGAATGTATGCTTTAAATTTTTGCGCTTTTCTAATGCTGACTTGAAAATGAAATTCAACTGAAAGATGGGTGAATTGGATAATTCACACATATTGGGCTAATAAGAGGGGTTGCTAGGTTCACATCCAGCCAGTATGGGATTCTTACTGTTTCTGCCTTAATAATCATCTTTTCTGTTAATAGTTGGTACAAATACAATAGATCTGTAATACAGGTACTTAAACCTGCTTCTTCCTTTAGAAAATATTGTAAAAGAAGTATCCAATTGATTTCACCTTATGTTCATAACTAATTTGTTGGCATAGGTGGAATTCTCTTATGAATTATGGTTGAAACTTGAAATGAATATTGCCATCACCAAGTTTAGAAAATATTGTAAAAGTATCCATTTGATTTCACTTTATGTTCATAGCTAATTTGTTGGCATAGGTGGAATTCTCTTATGAATTATGGTTGAAACTTGAAATGAATATTGCCATCACCAAGTTAAATCAAGGCAGTCTTAGTGAGATTTAGGAGTTTGATTGTTTTTTTTACGATTTGACTTACCTTTACTGAGTTTGTGCTGATCAATTCCTTCTAGAACAAAAACAATGACCAAGCTTTTGAACACTGCATCCATATATATCATTTTTACTTATTATTTTGACTAATTCGGGATTAACGTTGCAGTCTGCTGCTCGCTTATTTGGATCTTCCATCTCTTCGAAGGACCTGATTTCTGTGTCTGGGGTAGGTTGTCACTCTTACTCCTGTGGCTTGTTCTGTTTCTATTTCAAAGAAAACAATATATGCATTTTGAAGTTGTTTATACTCATTATCATGTATGCTGTTTGCTTGTCTGATGATACACGCTACACCCGATTTAATGATTGGCATAAAAGGAGTGCTAGCAACACACTCTTTGATTGATTGAAATTCAGATGGTTCCCTCTAAATCGTTGGGTCCCATATAAATTTGGTGGGATCCATGCAAGTTTTAACCAATTTGCGAGTGTGCTAAAAAATGTGGAAGAGTTTGTTGCTACCATTATTCTTGGCATAATTATTGGCTGTAGACGAAGGGCGTGAGTTGCCTGTTTGTCTGATTTTTATGGTAAATAATTTTCTTCCTGGTTTTTATGTATGAAAAACATGGATTAACAGTTATTTCACTGTTTATTATAGTGTTGTGCCATGATATAAGTTCACAAAATTTGCAGCCTGTATGTCATTTTATGAAACATTGGATGTTGTCTATTACCATATGCTTCCTTTGTGGTATCTATTCTTGTTTACCATCTTGCAAATTTGATTGGTTGTGTGGGAAGACTTCTTTTTCTCCCTTCCTGCTTATCCTGTATATCTTAAATCTGTATCTTTCAGATTGTTCCAGCAGAGGTTGTTGAGGCATTTCTTAAAGCATGCAAAAGTGGTAATTTTGATTTAGCCAACAAGGAAGTCAACAATTTCATTGCAGAGGGGTATCCTGTCTCTCAGATGCTAACTCAGGTCTTGTTTTGCCAGTTTCAGTGGGAAGTTCTTTTGTTGATAACTGTACTTATCCAATTAAGTTTTTCACAGAGTAACTGATTCTTTTTTGTTCAGTTGTTTGAGGCTATTGTTGAAGAAAATGACATATCTGATGAACAGAAGGCCAGAATATCCAAGAAGCTGGGTGAAGCAGATAAGGTTACTGATGACCCTTTAGGAATTAATATCTACACTAATCTCCACCCTTTTTCCTTCTTTGTTCTTGCATATGGTTTTTAACTTCAAATAGTTAAAAGTAAATTATTACAAATAGTAAGAGATATATGCATAATTAATTCATGTAGAAAATATAAAATTATGGATCAAGTAAAATAAGTTAAAATTGTAAAGTTAGAAAGAACTCAATTTTAAAATCTACAATGAGAGAAGGTAAGAATGACACTGAGATATAAGAGTGAAATAGTTGAAATTTAGGAAGAAAGCAAATCTTATGGCACATTGAGAAATTTTAAAATAAACTAAATTGAGACTTGAATGGGAAAAATCAGCATAAAATGAGAAATTCAAAATTAATTATTGAGATTATAAGTAACTAATGTTTGGATTTTTTAAAACTATGCCCAAGTTGGGTTCAGTTCTTACTTATTTCTTGTTGAATTGCAGTGCCTAGTTGATGGTGCTGATGAATACCTGCAGCTTCTTGGTGTTGTCAGCGTTACAATACAGGCTTTATGTAACATGCCAGAAGGATTTGCTTATGAGGGTTAACTATTAGATAGTCAGCATGTGGGAGACCATTGTTAACTTACTATTTGTCTAGAATTCAATTTCACAGGTTTCATCCAGGGCAGTTATGCTCAGTAACTGACCCTGTGCCAAGCAAATATTTTTAGTACTAGCATAGGACGCAAGTATATAACTGAACTATTGTACTGTTTTTGCACCAAAATACTTGAAGCAGTTAGAGGGTCTTTGTTGGAGGCCATTGTTAACTTACTAATGTAGTTATGCATGTGATATTTTTCTATTCATATGGTACTTCTGTTTGAATTTACCTTGCTACTGTTCTTTTTTACTTCCATAATACAAATACAAAATGCTTGAGTATTATTCCTGAAACATGAAAATCAGTTTCATAACTTTTTTAACAAGCTTCTATGTTGCTGTAGGGTCAGAATTGAGAAAATAATAACAAGTACGCTGAAGTTTATTATGATCAGGAAGCTGTAATTACTCTAAATGATAACTATCAGCACTTTTACCATACGAAGAAAATTATTTGATTAACATTAATCTTGCTTGGCAATACTGTTATAAGTCATTGATCGTCAAATAGTAAAAAAGCAGTACTCATAACAAGCAATTAAATTAATTTCAGCTAGTGCTCAGTAGTGTTTTCAAATACGAATAGCACATCTTGTGTCCTAAACACCAATAGCTCCCCACCAAAATGATTACACGTGATCCATCAAGTCTCAAATATGAATAGCACTCTTGAATGGGAACTTTTGGGATCATTAAAAGACAAAAACTGAGACTAGAAATAATCGAAATTACGCCCACTGATGTAGGAGAGGTAACTCGTTCATATGTTATTGTTATTTCATTCAAATACTGACAAGAATGTAGCTAAAAGAGTAGGTCCGTGACCGTCCATTAATAAATTCTCAATCATGTTTGAATATTGAAATTTGATTGGTACCAAAAAGTCTGAAATATTTAAGCTTAGTCACATGGAAAATAAGCAAATAAGACAACAAAACAAAATTGGCCAAGAAAAATACAAGAGAAAAAAAACAGAAACAAAATCAGTTACTCAAACCATGGCCCCACAAAATTGCCGCCAGCACCGGAACTCATTACTTGTTATAAGTCAGTGTCACACTATTAATATTTGAGACACCCACTAAGTATTATTTATAGAAGAACCTTTAGTTTTGCAATAATAAAAATCAAATTGAAAACAATGGTGGTAATGGAAGATGATTCATTCAAGAAGCCAGGAGCAGTTCCATTCAAATGGGAAATCAAACCCGGACTCCCTATTCCCCACCATCCTCACAACCCGGAATCTCCCTCATTCAAGCTCAAACCACCGCCGCTACCCGGGTCCTACAAGTTATCTCCGGTGGAGCCCCGAACACGGTCCTTCCGGTCAAATTCTAAGGTCCGCTCTGATAGATGGAGATTTGAGCGGCCGCTCCTTTCCCAGCCTGAGATAGTGACCTCTTCAGGTTGTTTCTTCTCACCTTTTATGAAGCGTTTACGGAGCAAGAAGACGGTTCCGAAGAGAGTGGTTGAACTCGATTATACATCGGAGTTGGATACGATTGGTCGGTGGTCTTTGTCGTCGACTAAATCACTGTCTCCGTTCCGGCCTTCGATGGTGTCGTCTTCTGTTGCGTCGTCGCCTCAACCCGTTGGTGATGTTGAATGGGCTGGGTTCGGGCTTTTCTGAAATAGTAGTTTGGTTTTTAATTGTATATTTTTGTGTGAGTTTATAGGTAAAAGATAAAGGAATCATAGTTGAATAATATTCAGAAACTATTATAGCTAGCCAGTCATACGTACCAGGATCCATGCATGGCTCAGGTGCTTATATTAGAGACACCTTTGTTTTGTTGGTGTTTAAATTATTAAACTTTAATTAGTGTTGTATTCTCATCATAACATAAAGTTATATTCAAATTTAAATTGTTTGCATTAACTAATAGTAGGTTGGCACTGCCGTTTCTCTTGAATAGATTCTCTTAAATAGACAATTACTCAATTAGAAGCGGACAAGAATCCACAAACCAACTCAAATTGCAAACAGCATTCAAATATTCGAGTTTTTTTTTTTCATCTCTTAAAATCTTTCAAAAACTCCTATAATTTACAAAAATGTCATTTAGTCTCTAAAGTTTAGAGCATGTTTTTCAAAATATAGATTTCAATATTCGAAATTCATAAACAAATATAATGAATTGAAACACTTTATTGAATCATATGAAATTCAAAATATTACATGTCAAATACTAAAAATAAGTGGTGAATAATTAAAAATCAATAAAATACAAACACAAGTAAGACATCCTAGTTACTTCTTCACCAGACTCAATCATGCACGCGCGATCTCATTAAACATCATATAACGAAACAAACTTGAACATATAAGATCAAAAAAACTGAATAGGATATATCTAAGTCAATAGGTTCATGGGGTGATACTAACCAAACATTAAACACATGATTATCACATTATCATCGTTTTATAGTTGCATATTGGTAAACTAAACACATTTATTATCATCGATTGTTAGACACTGATACTCAATAATGTAACATCGCCATTGATCTTGAATAAATGGTGTTTCAGGCTTATCGAAACAACCATCGACCGACCACTCAAAAGGGAGTTATGATTCGTCTGCATTTCTCGTGGCACATGAGAACTACCCTACCAAAGAGTACAAGCGATCCATATCCAAGATACATCTAACGCCCCTCGCATTACACACATAACAAATAACAAATTGTTATAACCGCACAATTATATAAAGGATACACGTGAAATTTCATTCACTTTTCTCCTTCAGATTCCGATTTCCAAAGGTTACAAGCTAATGTTAGAATGAAACATCGTTCTATAGGCAATAGAGGAAAGATTGCTTCGCCTTGAAGAAATTTTACACAAAACGCCTCTAAGAGAGAACTGCATGCAAGAAACTCTTTCAAAGAGAAGCCAAGCCTCTGCCCCGATCCGACTGCATCATGGAGGAATGAAGCTTCAAAATCACAAAATTTCTAAAAGAGGAAGAGGCAGAAAACTTCTCGTCAGATCCTCGAGGGAGATCGAGGTAGCCATGCATATCCGCAGTATTAGGGGGAAAAACCACCGACTAAGGATCCGCATAAACATCCTCTCTGCGCCAACAATTTAGACAGTAGGATATGCAACTTTCCATTAGATGTACTTTGTATGATGATAAAACTAGGATAATTTAGCATTTATGTATATTGGACGATACCCTTTGAGTCTTAATGTGCATCTTAGAATTAGTAAGCATAAAAACATTTTGGAAATGATTTAGAAAAGATTTCATGTATTAAAAATAATTTAGAAATGATTTCATGCATTTAAAATAAGATTTTATGTGAAAAACAGGTCTATGTGTTGACACATACGAGTTATAGGTCGACACACATAAGTCAATTTTAAAGCCTGTAACTTCTATTTGATGTGCTGCCTATATGTGTTGACACATAACATATACAGATCGACACATACGTGTTATATGTCAACACATGTAGTCTATTTTTAAAGTCTGTAGCCTCTGTTTGATGTGCCGCGTGTATGTGTCGACACATAACCTATATAGGTCGGCACATGACATATATAGGTCGACACATGCATCAAATAGGTTGACACATGACTTACATAGGTAGGCATATGCATTAAAAATCTTGAAAATTTACATTATTTTCTGAACCTCTTGTATTCCATTTGCTTCTATCTTGCGCACGCGCGCGCGTGCGCGCGCGCGCGCACACACACACACACACAAACCTGCTTTTACCACTATTGATCATATCATAAATCTCTCTTCCATCGAAGGGGTTCCCTTAGATGATCCTTCCTCTTATAGAAAGTTGATTGGTAGACTCTCGTACCTCACGAACACACGTCCTGACATATCTTACTTTGTACAACATCTTAGGCAGTATGTGGCTAATCCTTTTGTTTCCCACTATCAAGCTACTACTTGTGTTATGCGATACCTGAAATCCTTTCCTACATAAGGCATTCTATTCTCCAGCTCCAGTCCACTCAAACTCAATTTGCTGATTCTGATTGGGCTCATTGTCCTGACTCAAGGAAATCAATCACTGGCTATTGTATACTTCTTGGAAGCTCTCTCATATTTTGGCGCTCAAAGACGCAGAATACCATTTCTAGATCCTCTACCGAAGTAGAGTATAGAGTTCTGACATCTCTAACATGTGAAATGCAATAGTTATGCTACCTATTTACGGATTTTCATATCACATTTGCTAACCCTGCTTCCATCTATTATGACAACAAATCTGCCATTTATCTTGCCCACAACCCTACCTTCCATGAACGTAGCAAACATATTAAGTTTGATTGTCATGTGATTCGAGAAAAGTTGCAATCAAAGCTGGTTTATTTACTTCCAGTACCTTCTAGCTCTTAGTTGCCAAATGTTTTTACCAAACACTGACATGCTCCCTTGTTTACTTCTCTTTTGTCCAAGTTAGGACTATGCAACATACATATTCCAACTTGTGGGGAGGTATCCACATAACTACTTTATATTATTTTAAATAATTATGCTGATATCAAGAGTTAGTTTATATTATTTAAAAAAGAAATTTTATTTCTACACATTCAATTAAAAAAATCTTTATCAAAAATCGAAAAAGAACTTATTATCATTTAGTAGTATAAAATGATATTTAAATACTAAACTACCTTTCGTGGTATAAAATAATATTCAAATTATCAGATAAGTTTGGATAGATATAGGGAAATAAGAGAAAATTTGCACGTCATATATATCTAAACAGTAGAAAAAGAAATTTTTTAAATTAGTAAGAAATATTAGTCAACCTTACAACACCCATTCAAAGGGTGTCCATTCTGACATGTCATTATTAAATTCTTTTATTAGAATGTGATTTACATAAAAGTAATTTCTGTACTGACAAGCTTGTGAACTATGTTAATTCAATTGCATCTTCTATGTTGTATGATATTGTTCCTTGTTTCATGAAATATGAGTTCTTGAAAGGATAAGTTAGGTCTCCATTGTTAAAGATTTTCTTAATGTTTTGTATTTTTCATTTTTTTTGGGTAATGCCTAGTCCTCAATTGTACGTATTTTTTATTTTTATTTATATATTTATGAAATTTGAGAATATAAGGAGAGACAAAGGGGGTGCCAACATAGTTGAGATATCTAATCTCTCTTTGATGTCAGTATGCTCTTAATTCAGTAAAAAAAACCTTACTTGAATTTACGAACCACAACATTTGTACGTAATGACTAAAGGAACCAACAATAAGGTCCTTCAACTATATATACTTTATTGAGACTCCCGCCGACAAATTTCGTAAGTGTTTTATTGATTCAAGACATCTATGATATGTTATGTGAGAAAAATAATTGAAAAATACGCACACTGTTTGACCAGGCAACCAATGCCCTGATTTCATAGTCAAAATTGGTGCTTCATCCATTATAGACCTCTTTATTCATACTTTTTCTTCCTCTAAACTTTGTTTCTGTTTAGTTCAATGTTCAACGACGAGAAGAAAAGAGGATAGATTTTAAAAACTTGTATTTAGTTTAACAAGAAGATTGGAGATGGATTTAATGGATAGATTGTATTAAATTTCATTTGTACCCTTTAAATATCTAATATCAAATTAACTATAAGTCTATTTAAATATAAATGTAAGTAATTTTTTGTGTGATTTAATCCAAGTTATGTAGCCCAAGCCCAAAGTTAATTAGAGTTTAAGGTTTGCTACTTAGTATACAAAATAGTTACATATAAATAGACATATTTTGTAATTCAGTTTGTACAATCATAATTCAATAATATCAATCCTTATTTTCATTCACTCACAAGTTAGTTGCATATAAAGAGACATATTTTTTGAATACAAGTTAGTTGCATATAAATAGACATATTTTTTAATTCAGTTTGTACAGTGAGGGGTTCAAGATTCGATACAAGCAGTGCAGACTCTAAAGGCTACTGCTCTAGATCATTGCCATCGTCTAACAAAGGAGGTATAAAAGAAGTCTACTGCTCTAAAGGATTCAAGTTCAAAGTCCTCAACCAATGAGCAAAGTGATTGTGAAATAAGTGATGACGTGGATTCCGAACCTTGGTTTCATTAACCTTCAAGGATCCATTGAAGATTGGGTACCTAACATTTTTTGTTGATCTTGTAGGATAAATGTCTTGGCTCTACGATAGAGTATGGGATATCGTTTATGGGTGCTTAAGACATATAACGGGTGGCATCTCCCTATTTTATTAACTTTATGGCAAGGAAGAAGAGTTGTGTGACCAAGAAAGTCAACAACTATTGTTCATTAATTGGTAAAAATGTGTAGATTACTTTTAATGATTCCTATCTAAGAAACGTCGGAAAAGCTATTTCATTTCATGATGTAGGTGTATCTTTATAAAAGATATACTCAAGGGCATCGAATAAGGGATTGATCAACCTAAGGCGATGAAACTTGAGGAGGAGTAATATAACTATCATGAAAGAGACAAGAATGAAATACAACCAAAGGATGATCGTCAAATCAATAACTTTCTTGGATACATTACAAATCACATTATCAGGTACTTTGACAAAGAGAAAAGTGGTAAGAACGTTGATGTCAATAGTTGTTGTGGCACGTTTTACACTTGTTCCAAATTTCATTAGAG